GATCTGTTCAGATAATGCTGATCTGAGTAGTTTTAATTATAGTAGATCTCTGAGTAGATCTAAAGTAGATTTAATAATATATAAAGGGGTGTAAATTTAATATAGATCTGCTTATATTTATTTAGATCTACTTTATATCTATTTAGATTTAATTTGGATCTAATCAGATCTATTTTTCAATTTTTTTTATCTCGTTAAATTTAAGTTAGACCTAATCCATTTTTTCCCGGGATTTCTAAACAATATAACGTGTTATTATCAATAAAACTAAAATAAAGAAAATTCTTTAAATTTATAAAAAAAGAGAGAGAGAGAGAGAGACGACACAGCAGCATTTGCGGTTAAATGTGCTGCGTAGATACCGATAGGGTACTGTGTGTTATACGTGACGGGGTTACGCGAGTAGACCAATCGTTTTTTTTACCCGCAGTTATCTGAGCATCCAGTGCCAGTGACGGTATAAGTAGGGAATGAAATCGACGAAAGTCTCTCGCAAGTTTAGAAAACCGATCGGCTAAATAGCCGAAGCGTGTTACGCCGAGCGAGAGATAGCTTTCCTTTTGATAGATATATCATTGACAATTTATGCTTCTTAAGCAAAAGCAAGTATGCATAGATAAAATACAATAAAAAATAATCTTCTCAACACGATTTGTGTGCGCAACACCATCATATCTTAATTTTAATCTGCTAATAAATTTTTTGATTACGCAATACATACTGACAGCATTTTTTCAACTAAAAAACTATTTTGTTCTCGTCGCAATTTTTTCTAGTTAGAAAAAAAATTGATTTTAAAATATCTTATATCAATATAATCCGTCAGAGAGCAACTGGTTTTATTCAGAAGTTATAAAAAACAAGTTCTCCTGTGCTGGGGCTCGGGTACTCGAGCGTGGTGACGCGGAAGAGCAACGCGGCCGAATAACAGCAGTGAGCGCCGTTGACTTTTCAATGTATGTATGTATGTATGTACGCGCAGCGCGCGAGTTGCGCGCGAATAAGCCATCCGATGGATGGGTACGACGATGACGAACCCACGTCGCGTTTCACGAAAAAAACAACAAGCGGACGAACTGCGCAAGAATTGCGTTCATGATTATGACCTTCGTTCAATTAGCGTCGAACTAATGCGCCCACACGTGAAAACGATCTCCCGCGTCGTACAAAGGATTGTCCCCCGCGCGAGAAGAGAACTCTCGGAGATGAGGGGGGGTTCTAACTCGGTCATGTGAAACTACGATAAAACTACCGCCTGCTATCCGCGCCTCCTCCTCCTTTCTCCGGAGGAGCTCCGCTTCTCGCTCGTCCATCTCGCTTCTCTCTATCTCTTTGCTCGCTCTCTTGTCTCGGAAGCTGAGATTTCCGAAAGAATGCGAGTGCCTGTGACCGACCTCTACCTTGGAATTACATTTTCACGGTTGTCAAACAAAACGCTGGGACCACCTTCCTAGCAAATAACGAAAACAGGTAAATTAGACGGAGACAGAACACGCACACACACACACATACAAACTAAAGGAAAGCTTTCTGTTCTCGTTAAAATTACATACACACATTATGAAATTCCTTTCGACGCAAAATTAGTTTTTTTGTCCCTCTTTTTTTTATTTGCGTCACGAGACAGAAAATTGCTCACATTTCGAAAGTATCCGAAGTATCTTTTATGAGCACAAAACATTCTCGTATCTATTTCTCAACGAATTGTTGTTGTGAAAAAAAACTCGCAATTTTAATGACAGAGATCTAATTTAACAATTACTTCTGTAATTTTTGAAATTATTTTCGAGCGTCGAAATTTTCAAAAAATGCAAAAAAGCTCAAAGCTTGTGTCAAATAAATTCCGATAATTTCTTTTAACCTATTTACTGAAGCGTAGAAGTAATACGCGCGCGGGCGACAGGAACGTGAAAGAGACACATAGCACTGTGTGTGACCGAGGCGAATTAGATCTTTCTAATTCGAGTCTTGGCACGGACACCGGTCTGCACCGGGTTACTGCATCGCCCGTTCGAAGTAGGTTACGAATACGATCGCGCTTTGAGAAAGTAACCGACACCGCGTCGCGCGATCTGTCGTTCCGCTCGCCGCGATATTAGGCGCGTATATATACTATATATATATATATATATTCGCTAAGAAATGTAAAAAAAAAAGCTATTGAACCTATTTCAGTTTTTAAAACTCGCACACGCGATACGTATCCGATATAAAATTGCGTAAGTATACACACTCTGTCTGTCTTTTTTTTTTAATAATTACAATACTTGAGTTTCAAATATTAGGTCTATCGGAAAGTTCTGTCCGTTTTTGGAATAAAACAAAATACAAATTTTTCTTACCGTCAATAAACTTTATTAAATAATATAATTGCCATTATTATTAATGATTTCTTGCCAGCGTGAGGGCAATTTGTATACCCCATTTTTGAAAAATTAAGAAAAATTTGTATTTTGTTTTATTCCAAAAACGGACAGAACTTTCCGGTAGATCTAATATAATGACAAAGGTACGATAACAAAAACCATTGACACGTCCCGTTAGATTTGTTGTAAAAACCAAAATTAAAATAGCAATTGGAAATGGCGAACTCTTTTGCTAAAAAAACAAACATGGCAAAAACCGGCGAAGATCGCAGACGATATATTGATCATTGTACTAAGGTAACAATAAAACCGCTCGAGGTAATAACAAATTATATTATAGGTCTACCGGAAAGTTCTGTCCGTTTTTGGAATAAAACAAAATACAAATTTTTCTTACCGTCAATAAACTTTATTAAATAATATAATTGCCATTATTATATTAATAATTTCTTGCCAGCGTGAGGGCAATTTGTATATCCCATTTTTGAAAAATTAAGAAAAATTTGTATTTTGTTTTATTCCAAAAACGGACAGAACTTTCCGGTAGACCTAATATAACCAACAACGGTATGTCTTTGTTATTTTAATNTAAGAAAAATTTGTATTTTGTTTTATTCCAAAAACGGACAGAACTTTCCGGTAGACCTAATATAACCAACAACGGTATGTCTTTGTTATTTTAATTGTATAATATAATAACTTTTTAAAAGAACCATTTGAGCTCGATACAGACCTTGTATAATTGTATTTTTAATATTGATCATTTTTTATTTTTTTTTTTACCTTTGTACGCGCGTGTTCCGATTTCGTACGTTTCTTTCTTTCTCTCATACGAGCGTTCGGGCGAATGAAACGATTCCCTAACTCGCGCGTGCCAAATTCCTAAACTCTCGACCCGGTCTCTCGGAGTCTTTCCGCGCGGTTTCCAGGCCAGAGAGGAACAGGTTTCGCGCAAAGAATCGCAAAGGTTCCGCTCGCTGATTGCTCGATCGATCGTATAGCGATTTATAACAACAAACGCGAGAAGAAAACGAGAAGGTTCACGAAGGATGCAAACTTACATCTTCTTGTTCTCACATTGTACAGTTACCTGGCGTTTTGTTCCCTGACTACGCTCTCGTTCGCGCTCTCTGATACAACACGAAACGCGATTGAGAGGATTCGACATTTAAATCGAATATACTCTCTCTCTCCCCGCCAATTCCTACAAATTACGCGAAACCGCGTCGCGCGGTTGTGCAACCCGCGAGCAGGTCCACACGTCGTTACGCGCGACGTAGATTCCGATGCAAATGCGGATTACGTGCTTAGAACAAAATTACACGTCTGCGTCAGGCGGTCGCTTAGAACACACACGCGCTCTACATATTCAAAATCCGTACGCCATCCCGCGAAATTGCAGACGTAATATCCCTCGAAGGTGGAACGAGATATTACCGTGAAATTGCGGTACTTCGAACGTCGGGCGATGTATATCCGATTGAGAGGAGGGCTTGCTGCATTTACATTGTTATGCTCATTGAGCGAATTAATGCACCGTCCACACACAAGCTCGACGCGCGCGCGCGCAAGGACGCGAGGAAGACACGTCCTTGACGTTCCGCCCGAGCCGGCGAGTCGGAAATTAGAAAAAAAAAAAAAAAAAAAAGGAAGCGAGATATAAATCGCGATAACACAATTCTCGCGCGCGTATGTGTGCGCTGTTTTTTTTTTATTTTTTTTTTCTTGCTCCGTAAGACAGCGACGAAGTGACTTGAATCTAAATATGAAATTTTTGAAAATGTGACAACGTAGCGACAAATAGCTCGCACAATTTGCATTTGCATAACGCGCGGTACACACAGAAAAATGCATACTGTATCCAAGTATATATTATTAGGTCTACCGGAAAGTTCTGTCCGTTTTTTGGAATAAAACAAAATACAAATTTTTATTAATTTTTCAAAATTGGGATATACAAATTGCCCTAACGCTGGCAAGAAATCATTAATAATAATGGCAATTATATTGTTTAATAAAGTTTATTGACGGTAAGAAAAATTTGTATTTTGTTTTATTCCAAAAACGGACAGAACTTTCCGGTAGACCTAATAATAATAAGTTTATATATCCGCAAATATATTATAAGATTTTTGTATTTTACTCAAATTTACTAAGATTTTAGAGTGTATTTTGAGTAAATTAATAACTTACAAAAATCTTATAATAGTTTTGCGGATATATAAACTTATTACATACTTGGATACAGTATGCATTTTTCCGTGTGTAATGCGTGGAATATAAAAGAGATAAAAAGTGAAGAGAATAAAGAGTGAAGAGAAATGCTCCAAAAAATATTCGAGAATTCAGAAGATATTGGCCGTATGGAGCAAACACAGTTATTAGTGTGTGTGAAGTAAATTACTTTATTAATTAAAAACAAAACGTTTTCGACCTCGGTTTAGGTCCTTATCAATGTTTTTTCTACAAAGATTAAAAAATACAATAATCGACAAATTGATCTAATGAAAATTACAAAAAGAGATAATTTCGCGCGATTTCACAAATGTGTTAAGACGTTTCGTATTTCATATACTATGTCTCTTGACTCGATGTGTTACGCGTCTACTTGTTTGTTTTCATCAATCCGCTTACTGCCGAATGTCAATGACTGATGATCGGCGTGGAATGTCGCATCCTCGTTCAGGACGAGCCCGCGAGATGCGCGTGTCTCGCACGAATGTCCGATGGTCCTCTCCTCTCCCGTTTATATCCCGCGATGTTTCCTCGCTCTCTTGGCATCGGCCCTCTTACATTATGCATGAAACGCCGCACCTTCTTGCCCGATTCTTGCAACGTGTGGTATTTTGAGATCGAGACTCCGACCGCGTCTTTTCTCTTTGACAAGATGTAAAAAAAATTTCGCGCGCGCGAAGCGATTCCGCGTTCACTCGCGAACAAAACAGGGCTCTCCGTTTTAGCCACGCACACGACACACCAGTCGCGAGAAATTTGTTTTCGTTGATTTCTTAGCTCCGATCGATCGGTCGTCGACGAGAGCCGCACTGCGGAGATACATAAATCATCGGTATGTATTCAAAAAATATAAAAAAAAAAATCTCAAATGTTGACTCTTTTTACGTTGATAAAGAAAAAAAAGAACTGTCGAGATTGAACAAAGTTTAATAATACAACACACTATATTGGGTTTATTGAAAAGAATCACTTTGCAGCAAAATTATTGCACGACGTAAAGAAGAAGAATGGAAACAGATATTAACAATATTTGTAAAACAATTTTTAACACTTTTCGCGATTGCTGTGCGTTAAAAACAATTGACAAAGTGGGTCCGGGACTGGTTACACGCGGCCGAACAACCAATATTGCCGCGAAGAAGCCCGGAGCGGGACTGACTGGCGGCGGCCAGGATTCATTTGGGTCAGCGGCACAACGTAGTATACCAAAGGCCGCCTCTCGACTATACTATCTGTTATAGCCACGGAGTGAAGGTGCTATGCTACGTGCGTTTATAACGGAGCTATCTTCGCCGTTTGTGTGCGCTTCGATTTTTGCTTCCGCGCGTCTCGTTCGAGAAATTCCTGTCGAATCGTCGAACGGCGTGCAAAAATGTGCATTTTTGTTTTTTTTTTTTTTATTATCGCAATGGATCTTCGAACGGGAGAGAAGAAAAATTTAATCTCCCCGCTACGCAGCAAAAATCTTTTTTATTTTCCATATTCATGCGACATTTCTCTCCATCATAAAGATTATAACATTTGTGAAAGATAATGGGGGGGGGGGGAAATTAACACGTGTACGTGTAATTTTACACAATATATATGTCGTTCATTACTTCGTTACAGTTACAACACATTTCTGGAAGGAAATAGAATGTGTGCTCTTTACGTAACCGATGTTATAAAAAAAAAAGCAGAGTTTGTCCCTGATACGTTGCACGAAATGCTTGTCGATAAATAATTTATTTAAAAGTATAAGTAAATCATTTATTTAAAAGTATAAGAAAATTAACTCGATTAGGTACTTATATAAAATACTGACACACACGAAGAGAAATATATATTTATACGTATAAATGGGGGTTTAGATGTCTCGTAGTAGCGAGACTGAGAATAAAAAATGCGTAAATAAATATAATACATTTGTAAAATACTTATTAAAGACGTTCTCCGAATTATTGATTTTCCTAAGATTTTCATTAAATTTGCGATATACATAGTTTATGATCTTATTTGTACGTAGCCTTTTTGGATAATAGGGGTAGCAATGTTAAATTCCAAAATATGGAAGATTTAAGTTTCAATTTTTAACATAGATTTCCTATGCTGAGCCTTTGCGAAGTGGGGTTTTTTAAAGTTACTGACGACAATTTTTGTAGGATTTTTTTTTAAAAAACAAGTATGTGGTAGCGGAGAGTGTCTTAATTAAAATACGATTTTGAATAATACGGCAAGCAATCCTTTTCAAACTGTAGCCTTTTTTCGTTTTTTGTTTTTTTTTGTTTTGCTGAATTTATGTGCGCTGTGCACTGCAGAGCTATTTTTGAACTTCAGCGCGGAGTAAGCGGGTCTTAGCGGTGCTGAATAGCTCAACTTAACTTTGTTACAGCAGCACAAACTTACTCATGAGAAGAGATATTTTAGGTTGCTAACCACTGTAGTCGGAGAACGTCCTTAAAACTTATGTGCAATCGCGTAAACAAAAAGGCAAAACGATTAAGTATGGCAAAAATAATTAAGTATAGAAAAAAAAACTATCACAAAGCGTATAAGTAATAGATCACATTGATGAAGCAATCTTTTGCGCGTTCTTACTTAACCAAGTACGTCTTGCTAACAGTTTGCAATAAATTTATTACTCTCATATATAGTAAATCAATTTTTTGCGAAGTATAACACGTGTATATAAATCTCGCATTTGAAAAAAGAATAATTTAACACCTTCCTCACGCAAACACGATTAATTCTTGGTATCCATTTCGATTGTTGGAAATAAAATACGCGTTCCCTCGTAAAAGTTACACACACGAGCTGGCAGACTTTCTCAAGAATTTCTAGTATATCAACTCTTAGCTTTGTTTTTGTCTCTGTACACAAATCTCTGTATTAAAAATAAATATATATTCTTTTCACTCACAGAGAGAGAGAGAGAGAGAGAGAAAGAGATATTTCTAAAATACTCATTCCATTTTAAAGGAAGTCTCTTGCAGTCTCGTAAAGTATCTCGTATTGTTATAAAATTTTTGGCTTATTCGAGAAACGTGTGCTCTGTAACTAAGAATGCAACGCTTTGGGAATTATTTGTGGTTTTAATTCAACGTGATGCGTATAATCCAGTTGCAAAACAACATAGTTGTTATTGGCAAATACTCTTCGGAACGGATAAGCGTTTTCCCTGAGCAGAATAGGACACAAAGGCGGCTTGTTCGCGGTCTTTGCCGCTCCTCCATCGACCACGTCCCACAAATCGATCATTTGACATCCGCGCGGTCTGAAGAAACAAAATGACAAATGTTACCCAACTTTGTTTCCTCGAACTTGACGTTTTTCTCATACTTACAAGTTGGCGTATCCGGAACATAACGCTATATCCAGCACGACAAAATTAACTTTCATGTTTCTTAAAGAATGATATACGGAAATCGCGTCCTTTCGACTAAAAATCTCGTAAACCTTCATAGTTCTGTCCCTGGAACAGACATTTTTTTTATAAATAATTATTCTCTAAAAAAATCTGACTTTAACCCCTTAACCTACAATGACGGGCAGAGCCCGCGTACGATGGTCGGGCCAAACGTAAATATTACGGGCATAGCCCGCGTACGGTGATCGGGCCAGAAGTGAATATTACGTGGAATATTTGATATGCAATTACCGCGAACGTCCTACCACGGGCGATGCCCGTCATGTTTACGATTGGCCCGATCAGCGTGTTACACAAGTCGTGCGAATGACCCGAACGCTGCGCGAGCTTGTATACGATTTCGGCCCAACATCTTCGAATCTAAATCGTAGGTTAAGGGGTTAAAAAAAAAAAAAAAACAGTAATTTCTATCTTCGTACCTCATTTCTTTGCTCTCATAGTACGGGTTGTTAACGATCGCTCTCCTCGTGGACAACATTAGATTCGCCATTAACGACATCTTGCCCGCAAATACTGCCTGTTCGGACGTGTTGCTTTTTATCCATTCAAATAACTGTTCTTGTTCAATATTGCTGTACTCGCCTGTGTGTAAATAGATATCTTAAAGATGCCGCACATAAACTCAATTAATTTATATATATCTCAATTTGATAAATGTAATTTAAACCTATAAATGAACGTTCTGCTTGAAATTTATCGACGCCGTGGTACGACATAGCGCCTATTAGAAGAATAACAAAAGCGCCTCGCATCAGTTCGTTCTTCAGACCGGCCTTTTCAAGATATCGTTTGCTACACGCGGTCCCGGCTATTATGCAGAGATGCGGCGTCATGAATAGCTTCAGTCGCATAATAAAGACGGCCATGATGATAAAAGCGCCGGTCTGCAAACCGTTGTAAGCCACGTCGGCCTCTATACAAAATGGATATTTGTTCTTCTCGAAACTTCTGTACCAATAGTAGAGCGCGAGCATGCCGGCGAATATTGATGTCGGCAATAACATGGTCACTATGATTCCTTGATAAGTCTTGTATTGCAAAAAGTCAAATTCTGGCGAGCAAGTGTAAAGCATAGTGTGAAAGTCCTTGTAGGTCGTTAATTTGGCCATCAATATGTTGAATATGTGAGCTTCGTCTTGCGAATAAAACATATAAGCCAACCACTTTGTCAAAACTATCGTAACAATAATTTCAAGGAGAACTTCTTGTCTGATGTGTCGCGATCGCAAATTATGAGTTATACAGCTGGCCACCATGCTGCCAATTAATAGCCACACGTAGTACGAACGTATTATGTAGCACTTCGTGACGGCCACTACAAAAATAGCCAAGAAATGGGTCACAGAAAAATCCCTATAGAATTCGTACGGTATGATCCTCAACCACTTTAATATGAGAATTGCTATGATTTGCGTCACAAAGACGAAATGCGAAAACTGCCAAGCGCATAAACAAAAACAAACTGCAAAACATATGTCCTGAAAAACATAATAAAACAATTATAACAATATTGTATGTTAAACAATAATAATGTAACAAATAAATCTTGTTGTATATAAATTACCATTGCTGTTTTCGTTCTATGCTGCACGGTCGATTCGTTAACCTTGGAAGGTTTTGTATATTCTCTAATACTTTGAGAAACTCTGTGCATTTGATAGAGCAACATGGGGTATGCAAAAGTTTCTCTCAACGGCGGCGTCCACTGAACGCGAGTGCAGTCGTTATGGTTAAAAAAAAAAGCTAGTATTGCTATTAGTCCGCCGTAAATAGAATCGCTCAAATTTGTTGCGTAATAAAAAAGTATCGCCGCGGTACAAAATGCGGAAACCCAAACTATCTCTAAATAGAAATACACTGGTACGCCTAAACCTTCGCAGCTAGTTACAGGAGGTCCTTCTCCTCTCACTACCTGGAAATCATCAATGATTTACATAAACTATTTGTAAAGAATTTAAAACAAGATACAAAGATCAATATATTCTTCATACACAGAGGATTTCTGTAAACTTTACCTGCCAACAATGTACACTGGGTATCACACCAAGGTTTACTGCGGTATGATAAAGAAAACCTGCTATAATCTACATAGTTAAATAACAGTGAGATGTGTTAATTCATCAACAATTATTCAGAGACAGACAGCTGAAGAACAATAGTTTAGTTATAGTCACCTCAGGTAGAATGGTGTACTTTTCCACAGCGTTAACAATATTACCATATTCTGACAAATTGTCATGCTTGAGCTTCATCATCCCTTCCAAAACATCCTTCGATTCAACAATGGTCTTGTAATAGGAATAATACATTCCCTATAAAAAAAAAGTAATACAAAGAAGTAACACGTACCCAGTAAACAATTTGTTCGCAAATTGTCAGCAATTTTAAGCAAAAATACTCAACAAATTGGCATCAACTGTGTCCGCATTAGGCTTCGAATTTGTTGCCAAAGCTTGTTGACAAAAATTAACAGCAAATTGCTAGCAAAAACCGAGCAAAGCTTGATACATCAATATGTATCACCCTCAGGGTTTGAAGAGCAGCCTGATACTGAGATGCTCTTGGTCAGGTGTNCCTTTTTATAGCGCTAGATTGAAGTGGAAAGGGTGTGGTGGAGGAAGGGTGGAATGATAAGAAGGAGGGAAAGATGTGTTTATGGCAAGATGAAATGCCATAGTGAACTAGTCATATGTCCATTGTTTCTATTGAGATTGTTTGGATGTTTGTATATCTCCAGAGATTCTGTATATTTTCTAGGGAAGAAAGCCTTAGTTTTGTTTAGTACTTGGGTTTGGTCAAACATAATTTTGTGACCAGTTTCCAAATGGTGTTCTGCTAATGCCGATTGTGAGTAATGTTTTAGACATACTGCCGACTGATGTTCCTTTAGTCGTGTACTTATCATTCTACCAGTTTCACCTATGTATACTTTACCGCATGAACAAGGTATTTTGTACACTCCTGGTGTGTCTAATGGCGGTCTTTTGTCTTTTGGATTGTTAAGAATCTGTCCTATTTTTATTCGGTGGTTTGTAGACCGTTTGTATGTTGTGTTTGTTCAGGATTCTGCCAATCTTATCTGTGACCAAGAGCATCTCAGTATCAGGCTGCTCTTCAAACCCTGATGAAGTGAGCTGTAATGTTCACGAAACGTCGGTATAAAAATGACACTAACGCGGTTCAAACCCGAAAAAACATCTTTGTAAGTTGCTTTTATGTTTTGTCAACAAGCTTGAATATATTTTTGCTAGCAATTTTGCAACATTGCCAGACAAAACAAACTCTGCATCATATTTGATGTCTTCCTGCTAATAAAATTTGTAAAAAACATTTGGCAAAATCTGTTTTGACAGATTTTGGTTATCTGGGTAAGTTTTCAACTAAAATCCACGTTGTGTTATACATATTATATTGAGATAAAGTATAACACATATACACGTCATATAATCACATATCGTACCATTTCGGTTCTGAAGGACATCTCTCGCTCGATCTCTGACAAATAAGAGAAGTGGCGGTCATTTTCGAAGAGCGTGGATACGTGCCACTGATGAAGATAACCGAAAACGCAACCTAAAATATCAAAGCGAAGGTTATTCCGTCCGTTAATTCCATCCGTTGAATTCCTTTGTTCGCTAATCAAATTCGGAAGCTCGATCTTTTAAAGAAGATGAAGCTTTCGGCGTGACAAAAAGCAACCCGTCATTACCCAAAAGAAATACCGCCGCTTGATAAAAATAGCTGCCTTCGTTCTCCGGTGTCTCAACCGTCCTTCGCCTCCTGTCGCCTCTCGCCGCCATCTTTAAAGATACAGCTGGTCACGTGATCGCGCGCACGTCCTATGCACAAACAAGCGCGAAATTTCGAACAACCGCTCTCTCTCTCTCTCTCTCGTCTTTTTTTTTTTACACGATGACAAAACTTACGCAACATACGCGTATGCAATATTTTTTATTTATACACTAATGTTGATATTATTTCAACACGCGTGCAAAATTTTCTACGCCCGGACAATAAATTCCACCAAATGATATATTTTTGTCGGAATCGAAACCGCGCCCTCGTAATGTAAACATTTTCGTTATCTCGCGTCTGTAATTTTAGATACGCAATTGGATTCTCTCATTGCTTCTTGCGATTATAATTTGTTTTTAAAAATTGCGCTTGTAAAAATTGTCGTACCGCAAAGGGCGATTGAGCTTTGCACGGTCCTGAAAATGCGCGAAGCGTGCATCGGCACTCCCGTTATCGATCAGTCGCGTGGTAGCGGTGGTAAGCCCGTCGTGTCATGGAGGATCTCCTGCTGCAGATCGTCAGGGAGTCGAACAATGCGAAACTACAAAATTTACGAAAATCAGCGCAGGAAGCGTACGGTGAGAGCGCATTGTGTTTCTTCCGCGTTTCATTTTTTATTTAGTTTTTGCATTAAATAGATTTCGCGCGCGAGAAAAAAGGGCGTTTTCTCTTCCCAGTCGCGACTTCTTCGTTCAAAAGACGTCAAGTGTGCGAGCGTGCAAGTCAATTTCGTGAATGTAGTTGCCGATGTGTGCAACATTGTATAAATAAATACTCTATCTCTTATCGACAAACTTGTATTACTTTTATACATTCAATTCACGTAAAAATGATTGAAAATTATTATTGTTTTTAAGTTTAACGTCAATTTTTGGTGGAAACTCGCAACGACGACACAATATGGCATTTAACGCGATTACGTCTGTGAAATACACGATTTTCTTTCACGATTGTGTGTGAAGAATGTGTCTTTCTATTTTCTAGATTTTTTGGAGAAGCAGAAAGGTTTGCTGCGAGATCCGCCGTACAAATTGCGCGCGAAATGCTTACACACGTTTCAGCTAGCGTTGGAAAGCAAGAGAAGCAAATTCGTTGCCTTTGGGCTCGCGGGGTTACATGTAAGTAAGACGCGATAAGAGTTTTTATCGTGCGGCAAAAATTTTTTTCTGTTATACAAGAGAATAACGTTTTTTTTTTTTTTTTCATGTGACAAAACGCGATTGTGCGTAAAATACCTGACAAAAAGCGCTCGCGTTTTATCTTGGAACTGTTATATTCTTACACCGAAAAAAATTATATTCTCGTAAAAAGCAGAAGATTTTATAATTAAAAACTTTTCTTAAAGATTTTAGATGATATTCTTCTGAAATTAAGAATATATATTCTTTATTTAAGAACATATTCTTAATTTAAGAATATAGTCTTTTTCGATAGTGAGATATATATATGTTTTTCTATAGAGGCTTTTTATATTCTAATCAGTATATATTCTTATCAATATTACTATTTAGAGGATTTTCTTCTTAAAATAAGAAACTCTTCTTGGCGCCTATTTTAGTATAAAGTATACTTAAAGTAAGTGGGACATCCTCAAAACAAGAATACAATTTTTTCGGTGTACGTGTATTACGTGTATTCTCAGTCGGCATTACAATGTGACGACCGCTTGTGGAAGCTTTTAACTCCGGAACTGTGTGTGCGATAAAGCGAGAGATATCGGAATGAACAGCTGCTTTGCAGTTTTGAAGGCGAAGTTGCCTCGTTGCGATTAATTTTTATAATTATACCAGTTCGAATATTAGTATTTTTTTTTTGTTACTTGTGTCGCGTATAAAAACACTACTCTACAAAATAACACACAAATCGATTGTTAAAATCAAGGATTTTATTATTATTTGCAATTGTGTGTTTCTTTATTTTTAAAATAATTGACCGCGATTGATGTAACGAGAGATAACAGATATCGCAAAGAAATTTGAATTAATGGATCGAAATTAAAATTCGTAGAAGATGTTGAGGGACAAAAGATTTCAATCGAGGACGAAATTTTGGCACTACGAGCCAGAGGACGACTCGTTATGGTTGCCCGCGCAAATGCTGCACGCCATGAGCTCTATCGTCTCACAGTCCGACGACACGCAGACGGATATGCTCAAAGTGAGTTTTTTAGAACAGTAACAATAAAATTATTTTAAAATATAATTTTTGTTTTTTTTTTGGTTTGTTTTAAACGAGAGCAAAACAAGCAAAATAAAAAAGTGATCAAAAATAAAAAAAATTATTTATTGCTGGTTGCTTTTTTTTTGTTAAATCGCCCTTTAAGATTTTTGCGCGATATTCTGTCATTTCTTCAGGTTTTATTACAAGTTGTCTGTTCCCCTTATTGGACCATGAATGGCCGTCTGATTATCGCTTTACTGACCACTTGCTGCGAAGCTTTCGAAAATGGAAATCAAGCCGTGCGCACGGCCGCACAGGCCGCGACCAGCCAAACGTTGCGATCATTTTGTCTCTTTTTAGGTAATGTAAAAAAAAAAAATTCGAGCAAAAACAAAAAAAAAAAAAACATTCAGCGCGACGTCAATGTAATAAATATCTTGCTTTGCTTTGCGGCGATGATAGCTGTCGGATGTAGCGTAGACGAGATGTGTCAGAATATATGTTTGATCGATAAACTACATCGCGTGCCAATGAAATGCCGGTCAAAGAATGTCTTCGGCGAGGCGTCTTGTAACCAAGACCAGTATACTATATGATTTATGCTCTCGCGAACGGTACTCCGATGCTCGCCCGTTTTTATTCACCACATTGTACGTACTTACTTTGCAGACGAGGAGTGTCAGGAGATGGACGAGAACGCCAAACGGAACAAGAATCATTTCCTACTCCGCGAGCGTGGCATTTCGTGCTTCAACGAGGCGCTGCCAATTTTGCAGTACATCTGCAGCAAGCTGGACGAGGCTCAGAAGTAAAGATATAATAATTAGAAAATAAGCGACGCGGAAATGGCGTATACTCGAAAAAAAAAAAAAAAGATAGCGTAGTATAGTTGTAATATTTGGGAAAATTTTGTTCCACACAGCAACGGCAGAAACGGCAACACTGTGGTCTTCCTGCTAGAATGTCTGCATACACTCATATCGTCGCTACCGCAGAAGATTCACACAAACGCGCATTTTACGACCTTCCTGTGGCAAAAGTTTTGTCCCGCGTTGATAGCCTTCCTGGGCACGCCCCGGGTAGATAAGACTTTTACCTCTCGCGAGGGAAAGGAAAACGAGATCGGCAGAGGCTCCGGTTACTTGGCCACGTCGTTGAGCTTCGACAGTCATCAGGCTAAGACTGTTTATAGGTATAAAATCCCGTAAAAATTTAAAGATCGCTTCTATACGCGTGTGCGCAAATATATTGTAAGAGAAAGAAAATATTAAACTTTGTAATAATTTAAAATAACACACTTGCAGGGAGTTGATGTGAGGCCTTGCGCACAATAGAGAAAATATTGGGAGTGGGAATAAGTATTAAATATTAGGAAAAGGAATATAAAATGATGTCTCATATTAAACAACACCGAAAAAATTGTATTCTTGTTTTGAGGAGATACCCCACTTACTTTAAGTATATTTTAAACTAAAATAGGCGCCAAGAAGAGTTTCTTATTTTAAGAGGAAAATCCTCTAAATAGTAATATTGATAAGAATATATACTGATTAGAATATAAAAAGCCTCTATAGAAAAACATATATATCTCACTATCAAAAAAGACTATATTCTTAAATTAAGACTATATTTTTAAATAAAGAATATATTCTTAATTTCAGAAGAATATCATCTAAAATTTTTAAGAAGATTTTTTAAGTATAAAATCTTCTACTTACGAGAGTATAATTTTTTCGGTGAAGAGAACGGAATAGATTGATTATTCCAAATTCTTATTTTTTGATTTACGATTCGTTAATTTATTTTACTTTCTTGTTTTTTGAAAAGAAATAATTCCAATTTCTTATTTTTAATATTTGACATTTTTATTCCTGTTTCCTAATTTTGTCTATTGCGCGCGGGGCCTAAGTTTTTCTGTGATTAATATATATTTTGTTCTTCCTCCAGCATTGGTACGGAACTGGTGAGATTGGTAGGATGCGTCGGCCCGTTGAGACCGGTCTTGGAATCGGTGTTCCATAGAATGCTGTTGTATCCACCGCCGCAGCAACGGCTGGAACCGTTGAAGGCGCTAAAAGAATTGTTGCGCAGTCCTAGTCGCATGGTGGATTTCGCCGGACCGTTGCTGGTGGAGGAGGATCGATCGAGCCATATACAAAGTGACATGGCGTTGATGAGATTGTAAGTTGCGCTCGGCAACAAGGAGTAATTGATGTTTAGTAAGACTTTGAATTCGAGAATTTTAACTATTTTTTTGATTATATGTTTTCAGAATTATTTGCAATATTCTTTGTTCTATATACATATATATACATGTTTTTTGTTTCAGAGCTATGGATTCGATTGAGGAGTCAACAACGGGTGGACTGGCTATACTGCACGCAAGCGTATCCTGCGTTGTCGCTATGCTGTCGGCGCTTCAGGAACTTTGCGAGGGCAAGGCGATTAATCACAATTACACATGCACGATCAATAGTTTGTACGAAGATTTGGAATCCTGCGACTACCGCGGTCCTCTGACCTACCAGAGCATGGCACGGTTGCCAAAAACATATAGGTAAGCAAAATAACACTGAGTCATCTGCAGTAAACTATAGAAGAGTTTCGTTGAGTTCCACTTTTGAACTTTCGTCAAAAATGGAACAAAATGCCAATTTCAATTTTAAGTATCTTGGTGCGAATTATTTTGACGACTTTTAACGTATTGTTTGTCGCAATCTTACTCTCAACGTATATATAATTTTTCATCGTAGAATAATTTATTTGTTTGTTTTTTCAGGGAACAATTGGAGTTAATGAAGAAAAGCATGATTTCGGATTCCGACTCGTCGGGGCACGGACCGTCGGAGGAGGACGGCGATTCGACGGACACCGAAGGTCCGCAGAACGAGTCGGATGACGCGCAAGAAGATAACAGTCCCGACGACTGCACCACGGAAAACGAGTGTGAAAAACTGAGATTGAAAAAATTACCAAAGTGTCTTCACGTGGGCCGACAAGTGGCCGACGAGTGCAATGTTGATGTGGAGAGACACAATGCCAGACGGTTCGTGAAAACGCTCAGAACCGATCTGATACCGATGGTGCTCTCTTTGAGAAGCAACATCGAGGTGGACGAAGCGTTGCAGAACTTTGCTTCCGAATACTGTCAAGGTACAATATCGCTATTGTCAAATAAAACATAACGCTAATTGACTCTGAACTTTAATCTCGTTGATATAAAAAAAAAAAAAAAAACAGTTAACGTTAACGCCACCCGAGAAAAATGGATTAGATCTAACTTAAATTTAACGAGATAAAAAAAATGGAAAAATAGAGATCTAATTAGATCCAAATTAAATCTAAATAGATATAAAGTAGATCTAAATAAATATAATTAAATCTATGGAAAAAGTTACACTTTTATTTATTATTAGATCTACTCTTGTTCTACTCGAATCTATTATATTAGATCACCTCAGATCTGTTCGGATCTGCTCAAATCCAACTAAATCTGAGGAGTTTTAATTATAGTAGATCTGAGTAGATCTAAAGTAGATTTAATAATATATAAAAGTGTGTAAATTTAATAGATCTGCTTATATTTATTTAGATCTACTTTGTATCTATTTAGATTTAATTTCGATCTAATTAGATTAATTTTTTCATTTTTTTTATCTCGTTAAATTTAAGTTAAGATCTAATCCATTTTTTCCCGGGCAAAGCAAAATTAATAAATGTCAAATAAATATTTTATGCACTTGGAGGAGTGTTTGCAGCTCAGCAAAAACTGCAAGAAGAAGCTGACGCGGATTCGTGCGCATTGATCACGATTATGAACGCCGATGGGATTTATTTGGCGACTTACGCGGCGTTGATTCTCAATTTGAAATTAATTCGAACGAATTATTATCACGAGGAAAGCCGGCCGGTACCAGACGTGCTTAGCGAGGTATGTTTAAATATAAAAACAAAATATAAAAATAAAAAAAAATAAAATATAAAAATATAAAAATATAAAAAAATAAAATATAAAAACAATCTAATTCTTTTATTTGACGGCACAATTTTTGATTTTTTTTTAAGGAGCAATTTGTAGAGGAAGTGCACGGATCGGGAGTGCTGGTTTATCTCTCGGCCACGTGGCTCTCCGAGTTGTATCAACAAGTACTCGCTTGCAATTTGCTCGAAAAGTGCGGTTACAATCCCAGCTCCACTGAGAATAACGCACTGATCAACGTTCTCACTGGTACGCGTCTCGAATTAATGTTTTTTGTAATAAAAAAAAAAAAAAACAAAGATATTAAATTTTTTTAAATTTAAGTTTTGACAAACGTATACGCACAGCCTGGTTATTTTGACAAACGTACGTTTACACCGATAAGATTTATTTTTCACAATTCGTAGACGTGGACGGAATACCGGGTAGTCAGAGAGGCGGACAATTACTGTCCGATTACATAAGACTGGAACGAGTCCAGCTTTCTCGAAGCGAGCCAACTCCGGAAGAAGAAGCCGGCGCAAAACTCTCACGGCGAGTTTTGACTTGCTGTTGGGGCAGCATGATGACGGTTCTCACGATGGGGTTGAATCCTCCCAAAGAGGAAACCAATAAGAGCATTCTGAACAGAGACGGCGGCAAACGAGGAGTCAGGGACACGGTTGTTCTGGCGCTTGAAGGTCTTCACAAGGCTGCCACATTGAGCAACATACTTGGTACATGACTTGCATTATTATTTCGTCTATTCCACAGACTTACGTGAACTTATTTAATTTTTCTTATCTTCTTCTGCTTTTTACAGGTTTACAAAATCGCTGCGGTTCCATTTTCGCTCTGCTAGCAAAGGCCGCCTGCACCGAGCAATCTATTTCGAAGATTACTCGCAAAAAGGATGTGTTGCGACTTAAATTACAGAACAGAGCGACCAATATTCACACGTCGCACGCTCTCAGTATGGACGTGCTGCTGGGAAAAGGTCTGGAGCTCGGTAGCCACGGTAACGACTGTTGGCCGCACGTTTTCACGTAAGTGTCATCATCGAAAACTCAGTCGGAATATGTTTCTAAAAAAAATCATATTAAAAAAAAAAAAACATGTTTGTTCGTATAAAGATGTTGTTTATACGTGAGCAAACTGGAACACGACTTCTTCGGAAGAAATCAAAATCCGTCATTGCCCAAGGCTCATCAGAAAAAGGAGAAAAAAGATGCGGCAAATGGAGATGCCAAGAATGGTCAGGATAAACTTCGGCTGAACTTCAACATAGCCGATGACGAAGAGTCTTGGTACGACACACAAGTTCCTTATTTTATACAATAAATATTTACATTCTATTTATATATTATATATAGAATATATATAATATATATATAGAATATAATATA